CACAGTCCCTCAACCCAAGCATCTGCCCCACTGAATCAGCCTGCAGGCCCCTGCCCCAGTCATCCCGGGGCCTCCCACCTCCAGTGCCTTGAGCATCTAGAAATAGGAAGGCCAAGAATCTGGCTATTCCTGTGCTCCCAGGAGAAACCAATCAATGCCTCCGAGCTGGCCTCTCCTGGGGAGGGAGACACTTCCACCAGACACACCCTCCATACTGGTCCTTCTGGGCCCTCGTGTCCTGCAGAAGGACACTCATGTAGTGCTGGGGCACAGTGAGCAGATATGTGCCTGTGTCCACGGTGGCCTGGCAGCCTTCGGAGCACTAGCTGGAGGCCTCACTGCCAATGCTAGTGGTGAAGAGATGAGAAGCCATAGCAACTCCAGCTCAGGGCAACTGGGGGGGGGCCCCTTCCCCTCCTCTGATGGACTAATAGCTGTAGCCACAGAAACAAGGTACACCTTAGGAAGGCAAGGACTCTGCAGGGGTTAATTCAGTCATCCCCCCACTTCATACCACACCGGAGTCTGTCTACGGCCACCTAAATGGCCATGGAATCTCTTCTTCGAAGTTCCAAGGAAAGTTCGAGAAACATTAAAAGCCAGGGCTACTGATTCGTTGTAAGTACTTTGACCAAATTAGTCCCCCTCTGCCACCACACACCCCAGTTTCTAATCTGTAAACCTGTAGGGTGGGACAGCGGGATCTGAAATGTTTGGGATTCCAAGTCCTGTCCCTTCCGATGTTGTCCCTCTCCCACTTTTCTTCTCCAGGCTGAGATGGGCCTTGAAACTCCAGCATAGGGCAGAACTGAAGGGGGGCGGGGAATGCGCTCCCCAGAAGGCCAAGAATCTGGCTATTCCTGTGCTCCCAGGAGAAACCAATCAATGCCTCCGAGCTGGCCTCTCCTGGGGAGGGAGACACTTCCACCAGACACACCCTCCATACTGGTCCTTCTGGGCCCTCGTGTCCTGCAGAAGGACACTCATGTACTGCCGGGGCACAGTGAGCAGATATGTGCCTGTGTCCACGATGGCCTGGCAGCCTTGGGAGCACTAGCTGGAGGCCTTGCTGCCAATGCTAGTGGTGAAGAGATGAGAAGCCATGGCAACCCCAGCTCAGGGCAGCTAGGGAGTGGGCTTCCCCCTCCTCTGATGGACTAATAGCTGTAGCCACAGAAACAAGGTACACCTTAGGAAGGCAAGGACTCTGCAGGGGTTAATTCAGTCATCCCCCCACTTCATACCACACCGGAGTCTGTCTACGGCCACCTAAATGGCCATGGAATCTCTTCTTCGAAGTTCCAAGGAAAGTTCGAGAAACATTAAAAGCCAGGGCTACTGATTCGTTGTAAGTACTTTGACCAAATTAGTCCCCCTCTGCCACCACACACCCCAGTTTCTAATCTGTAAACCTGTAGGGTGGGACAGCAGGATCTGAAATGTTTGGGATTCCAAGTTCTGTCCCTTCTGACGTTGTCCCTCCCCCACTTTTCTTCTCCAGGCTGAGATGGGCCTTGAAACTCCAGCATAGGGCAGAACTGAAGGGGGGCGGGGAATGCGCCCCCCAGTAGTACGTGTGTGTGTGTGTGTGTGTGTGTGTGTGTGACATAAAGTGCCTCAAGCCTGCTCCAAGAAAGTGCCCACATCCCCAAGGCCCCACCACAGACTTACTCCTCAGTGCCATCTGCCAGTAGAGCACCTGGGTGACGGGGGCCCAGTAGATCTGTCCCCGGTACAAGCTGTGGTCTGCACCTCAGAGTAGGTGGAGGACTGGCTGGGGTCAAAGCGGTTGTGGGGTCAAAGGATTTGGGAAATTGAGCTGGGCTGCCTGGGCTCTCAGGCCTGTGGGGATTCCCACCTGTCTCCCAGCCTGTGCTCACATCCTGGGACCTCAGTACCCCATGCCACCCATCAGGAGGTGGCTAGCCAAGGTTCCCAGCATCCCAAGGCCCATGGAGCTGGTCAGCTTTGGTTCCAAAGCCTCCTCTGACCGTGGGGAGCCCTAGGACTGTGACCTCCCTGTAGGCAAGTTGCTTAAAATCCATGGCCCCCCAGGAGATTGCCTGGCACACAGTGAGTTCTGAGAAATTACTTATCGGATGAAGGAGCGAATGACCCTCCAAGGTGTCCCTGCTTTGCCTGACCCTTGCCCAACAGTCAGGAAGCTGGCCATACCGGGATCCTGAGATCCCTTAGGGCGGGACCAGTAAGGGACCGTCTGAACTAGAGGTGTCAAGACCCAAACCCCAAGGCTTTGGCAGGGACCAAGGCAGCCTTAAGAAAGTGAACATTGTCTGTCTCCAAATATGACTACAAGATGGGGACGACCTCCTGTATTATTCTCCCATGGGCCTTGGAGACACTCAGAACTTAGTAATGAGTGGAGCAGAGTGCAGTGGGCTGTAGCAGAAATATGTATTGGTAGGGAAGGCAGAGGGGCCAGTCAGTTTCAGGGCCAGCTTCTTCCCTTTAGCTTGGGCATGCCATGTGACCCTGGACAAGTCCCTGGGCCTCTCTAGGACCAAAGCTCCCCGCAGCAATCTCTGTGAAGCTTGGCCCTTGCCCAGAGGGTGTCGATGCCCTCCCTTGCCCAGCCCAGCACTCACTGCAGGCCTGGCTCTGGCAGTACACAAGGGCACCCACAGGTTGGAAGAGCCAGTATCAAAAAGGACCAGGAAATTCTGTGGTGGAGTCCCAATGCTGATCTCACCAAAGTAGGCAGCCTGTGAAGGTGGGAGCAAGGTGTAAAGCAACGTGTAGAGCAGGCTGTTCGCTCTGAAGGGATCCAAGGACCTTCAGGCCCAGCATCCTCCACAAGCAGAGCAGGAGAGGGACCAACTCCTGCCCTATGCCCACACCAGGGGCCTGAGCCTTCTCTCCACACTTGTCCACAGACCCCCAGCTCGTGCCTGTCCAGGGTGGATGCAGAGATTTTTGTGATCTGAGCTGCCGAGTTAACAGGGGCCCCTCCCATGCTCTGCCGGGGGCGGGGAGGAGGCTAGGGGGGCGGGGAGGATGCGGTTCAGGCTTGCAGATCTAGGAGAATGGAGCAGGTGCTGGGTGAGAGAGTGTAGAGAAGATGGATGCAGCTCGCTGCCCGGGCCTTGCCTTTAGCCTGTGGCAGCAGGGAGAGGGGTACCCCTGGGAGGGTCAGGACTCACATCCATGTAGGCCATGGGCTTGTAGGTCACACTGAAGTCACTAAAGTGGTACTTCTGGATAGGGTCATACGTGTGAGTCTTCAGGAACTCCTCCAGTAAGCCCTTCTCCCTTATGGTTTCACAGATGGACTTTAATTTCTTCCGACGGACTTTGCAGAAGGGCTGTGTGTAAAGTCAGGGTTCTCCCTCTTTCCTACAGGGCCTCAGTGTCTCTCTGTGTCTCTCTGTGTCTCTCTGTCTCTGCCCACCCACCCCTCCATCTCTAACTGTATACCTCATTCTCTCTGCCCCTCTGTACCCCTGTGTCTGTCACTTGTGTGTGTCTGTGTTTTTCTTTCTCCATTTCTGTTTCAGTCTCTGTCTCTTTCTCTCTCTCTCTGTCTCTCTCTTTCTTCTCCTCTCCGCTTTCTTTCAAAACTCTTCTTAGGACTTGCTCCGAGATTCAGAAAACAGTTCCCTTCATCCATGATGCCTTGCCCCATCTCAAGGGTCGTCATCCCACCCTGGCCCTCTGCTCTCAAATATTCCATAAATTCTTTCCTGAGAAGGGAAGAGGGACTTCAGGCATTCCCCTTTGCAGGATCTGTAAATTTTTTTAAAGGTTTCAGAGACGGCAAAGTTCACCTGAAAGAGAGTACTCTCGTATGTGGCCCTCCCTCAGGCACCTGGCACCGGCCGAATGTGACAGAGCATGGGTATAGGGGAACTGCACTAAACTGGGACTCAGAAGACAGGGTTCCAGTTCTGCCCGTGCTGCTAATTGTCCGGCCTGGAGCCAATCACTGCTTTTCTCAGGACAGGGTGGCAATGGGAAAATTGGCCTGGGTAGTCTGGAGCCCAGATCAGCTCTAGAACTGGAACTTATGAATTATGGGTTTCCACTCATGTCACCTTTGGTTATCCTCCCAGACCTACTTGCTGCCATTGCCTAGGGGGTGTCTGCGGGTCCACCCAGGCCTCACTGCAGACACCGGCCTTCCTGCTTTTTCCATTTCTTTCTTGTCTTGATCCCCATTCCCTTAGGACCCTGAATTCTTACTTACTCCAGAGGTTCAGAAGTTCTCCACTAATCCCATTCACATTGGACTATGAAGACTGATAGCCTCTCTAACCACTCCCACATAATTTGCATATTAAAAGAAGTTTGTAAGAGGAGCCTTCACTTCACCTAAGGATTCACTTTAATGCTGGAATAGCAGCAATGGGGCTGACAGGCCCCAGCCTTCCTGACATCCCATGAGCCAAATCACTCACTCCCTTTTTCCTGACACCTCGGCATATAGAAATTACATTAATGATGTTTCTGCTTAGATGATTCTGTCACCTGCCAAATAAATTTGGGCCCTAAGGAAATTTTCATCAAATGTCACCCTATCCAGAGATAATTGTTCTTTTCTGTGAGAGGAAACACAGTCACCTTTCAGGGTCTGCTTGGGCAGTAGTCACCTCTGCTCTCCCTATTTTAGATCTATCTTTTCTCCTCAGATAGAAGAAGGGACAGAGCTTCTCCCTTTGACTGGAAGTTTCCTGAAGGCAGAGGCTGTGTCTCTTTTCACCTCTGAGTCCTGTCGTGCACTGGCTCAGGGAGCCTGCCCTGCCCCTAGCAGAAATTCTAGAGCAGAGGCAGGTGGGGCATCCTCTGGCCAAGCCACCCCTTGCAGGGCTCAAGTCTCCTGCCCACGCTCCTGTACCAGCAGCCAGGCCCCAAACTCACTTGACCACTGTTGCCTCCAGGAGCTGGAAGCAGAGCAAGGCCGCCACCATCCACTTCATGATGCCGATTCCCAACTGGCTGCAGAGGAAAAGCCACTCCAAGTAGGGCAGTCATTTATACCCTCCAGGGTTCCAACCCAGGCCCCGCCTCCCTGCTCTGGACAAGCATGACCTCAATCCCTGGTGTACCCTGTGTTCCACATATCAATTGTTTCTGTGTGTTTTCCCTTGTGAGGCTGGCTGCAAAGGACTTTTCATCTTATTGACTTTTTTAAATAAGCAATGGAGGCCAGGAGGTGTGAGCGGAAAGAGAGAACAAAGTTGGAGTGGCGAAGATTACTTCTTGTCCAGGAACCAGAAGAATGATGTGGGCATTTAGGGATGAGGGCCAGAGAAAGGTCGAGCCAGAGCGATGGCCAGGAGATCCATAGGTGGGTTTCTCATCCTCAGTACTATTAACATTGTAGAATGAATAATTCTTTGTTGTGGGCACTGTCCTGTGCCTTGTAGGATGTTTAGCAGCATCCATGGCCTCTACCTGCTGGATGCCAGCAGTAGCTCCCCAGTTGTGACAGCCAAAAAATGTCTTCAAACATTGCCAGATATCTCCTTAGGGGGCAAAATTGTTGAGAACTGTATCTATGGGTGATAGGCTTGGAGGTCTGACTAAAGTCCTGGCTCCCAGCACCCCAAACCCTTAGGGGATGCAGTTAGGGGTATCTGGGGGATGGTGGAGTCGGTGGCTAGGATGACGGTGGCGAGAGTGGTGCCAGTGGTCATCATAGTGGTACTGCTGGCGCTGATGCAGGTGGTAGGGTTGGGTTGCCAGTGAATGAAGTCAGAACTCTTTGGGGCAGCTTTGGAGGCTTTCAAGGTCAAATTTGGAGAAATGCTCATCAAAATTCAGCGAACGCTCAGGACACACCCACGGAGTAAGCCAAACTGGCTTCTGGTTATGCCTCTTGTGCTGGTCTAGCACAACAGGAGGCCTGGGACAAGGGCATATGGAGAGGGGACATGTCTACGTTTGCTTCTGTTCTTCATTGTCACTCTTCTTCCATCCCATTTCGATTCTGTCCCTGCTTTTAGTTCTCCTGAAATGTCTGTGTCTCTCATTACCCTCCTCCCAAACCTTCATAGGCCCTTTTTTCTGCCCCAAGTCTGATCCATCCTGTGCTTCTATCCCTCATCACCTCATCGCCAGGTCTTCCCTGCTTCCCAGCTACAAGCTTCTCCTTGCCTGAGGTGACCTGGAGCTGGCCCAGTGCCCACTAACCTAGCACAGGAGAACTCCCCATTTTGGGGTGAGTGGAAAAAGTCCCCGTGCCAGTACCCTCTCTGCCACCTTGTACCCTGCACTCAGGGCTCCAAACAGATTTGTTAGGCCCTAGAGCCCCAGGCAAAAGGCCAAGACCAGACCTGCCAAACACCGGTATAACCCAGCCAGTGGGGGATTTTCCACTCTGGCCACCACCACCCACTGCCCGACCAGAGCCCTGGAGCCTCCCCTAGCCCTATGATAGGGGAGGGGAGGGAGAACACTAGAAGTCTACCCAGGCCCGGCATAGAGAAGGAGGTATCTGCCCGATTGTGTCTCAAGGCCAGATCAGCTCCCATTCCTCCCTGCAGTCCCCAGGGACACACTGGACTCTGGAGTGGAAGGTGAGGAAGGGACGGAGTACCTTCTCTGGAGGAGGGATCTGCAGATTTGGAAGCGCAGGCAAAAGCAGGTCATGGATGCCTGGAATCTTGCCAAATCCTGCGAATATAATAGAACCTGTGGGATCCCCCCAGGTCTTGTGAGGCCTTCCAAACTCACCAGCATGGGCCTCTGGGGATCTTTCCTTACCTGGTAGGATTCTAGGCATCTGATGGCTGCCAGGCTGACCTGCTCCAAACCCCAGTCACACCATATCCCTTTTGAGCACCCCTGGCCTAGTGCATCAGGCCAGGACATCCCACTTGGCTGCCAGGACTTGGGAGTCTGCAGCCCCTGTCTACCCAACCATATCCGGCAGCTCAGTCAGTCTCCTCAGCATCCCCAGACATCTCCAATCCGAGTCTGCTACTGGCCTGCTCCACCACCACCCAGCTGCCCATACCCGCAAAGCCTACTTCTTACTCTTCTATGTGTCCAAAGTCTGTCCATCCTTCTAGGCCTCTACTCCTACAGCCAGGGGTGTACAGAGTCTGAGGACAGCTTAGAAGTCATCTAGGACCACCTCTCACCTAGGACAGGAGCCCCAGGAAGCCTGACGCACTGATTCCCACCCAAGTTCATCTTCTACCCCTAAACACTGTCCCCTACCCGCGCTGGTGCCCTCCCCTGGGGACTGGATCTCTCACTGGGTAGGGTTGGTCTCCAGTTGCTTCATGGGGTATGTTTCTTCTCTCCAGAGACCGAAAGCTCCCAGAGGGTAGAGGCTGTAGCTTCCACCTTTCTGTGCCCAGCCCCAAGCTCGGGAAATCTTGAACAGTAGGTGGAGCCCATGGGATTGTTCCCAGTGGGCCTTGGTTATATCTCCCACACCCCACTATCCTGGTGCTTGAATTTCCACCCCACGCTCCAAAGGGATCTTGTCAAAATCCAGGCCCTGGGATCTTCTCATAGCGACAGTCCCCCAGGAAAGAGTTATTTTATTATCACTCTCTGGTTTCGTCTCCCTCTTAGCACCACCTGCCTCAAAACTCATCAAAGCTCCCCATTACCACCACCACCACCACAATGGCCATCTAAATAAAATCCAACTCATTACCCTGGCCTTCAGGACATGCTCAGTCAGGCCCCTTCCAACGTTTCCATGCTCATCTTCCACTACTAACCTTCGCATGCTCTATCCTCTAGCCATAGTGACCTCCTTGCTTCCTTCCTAGGAGACTTGTTATTTTCCAACCTCCATACCTTTGTCATTGCTGTGCTTTCCATCTAGGACACCCTTCCCAAGCATCTCCATCTGCAAGATCTCCTCCTCCTTCAAGACCCACTACAAATGCCACAAAGCCTTCTTTATTGTGCTCACTTACTCTCAAACTGGCCTCTATTGTAAAGGACTTTGCTTTTCCTCTCCTTATAGTATTTATTTTATTTTACT